ATGGGGAAAAAATAAGACAGGCAAACAGGGAATTAACCCTTTGCGTCACTTGGCGCAATAATGCGCCGGTGAAAATTCTCCGTTCCGGTCACCTGGAGCAGTTCTGCGCCAGGCCCAAGAAGTCTGTTGCAGTCGCTCTCCTGGCTGGGTGACCACATGGGGTATTTTGTACTGCCGGCTGTGTGACTGCAAAGTGTTAAGTAACAAAAATAACCTAGAGAACTCACCTCCACCAGCATCAACAGCTCCTCACACTGCTCAGGCTTGAGAAGGCCGTCCGTGACAAACCGCTGAGCGCGACTCAGATCCTCGGCTTTGGCGATGATGTGCATGCCCAGCTTCTCGTACCGTGTCATCCAGTCGTCAGACTCGACGTTATCTTGCTGGAGAATATCTTCGTCTTCCTCTTCATCCTCCACATTCTGAGAAAAATGACAACAGAAGAATGAAGCAACACCATAAGCTATCAATTTTGGTTTAAAATCTAGTTGTTTTTTGGGTAAAGAAAAGAACATCACCACAATAACAGTCAAATAGAAGTTGTAGTAAGATAGACAAACAGAAATAAAAGAAGAGAAAGTAAAGAAGTAAGATCTATCAATGGCACCCCCCAACTGTCCCATTTACAGATGGAAATAAAAACATGAACATGGAACATCATTATTATTAATAATTACCTAATTATTGGGAGCAGGAGGGACATGGACATTAATTTGAGATTCAAAATGACCACTCAGAAATAACAGAACAACAGAATGTAAAGGAGTGCAGCTAGCTCAATATATATACCATGCTGAACTGCCATTCAAATGAGACCCTGATTCACATCCAAAATAGGCAAGGGTTTGGGTGTAGAGAAAGACATTAAAATAAATTAACGCATGCATCAGAGCCTCTTATCTCATCGACGACATCATGTTCTACCCTTGAGGAGGTAATTTGTTCCTCTGACAGGCACTTATTTAGAACAAATGTTTATTTTAGTCCATGAATTGAACAATTTGTTTAGTAAAATATTAGCTACCAGACCATTTCCTTCCCTGTGACCAAGCCATGGTGACTGCCATTTTTTCCTTTGCTGACTGTAAACAAAAAAAATCTCCTAAAACCTGGGTTTCTTTTCAAATTGGGCACGCAGGTGTGAATAAGTTAAACGAAAAAAAAAGAAAAATGATTCTATTCCACGGAAGATTTTTTGTTTTAGTAAGAGTTTTCATCACTTTCAACACAACAAGGTCATATAAGTGCCGAAGATTAGAGGTGTTACAAGAGAGTAACAAACACAAAAAAAGAAGGAAGAGAGATCAGGACGATAAATGTTCGATAGGAAAGAAGGAGCAAACCACACCAGAGCACCCACCAACCACCCACTTCACCGAAGTAGTCTGTCACAAGTCTGTCAAAAGGAGAGAAGCACAATATGTAGAACTTGCAAACCTCATTAATATCTGGCCATTTATAGTTCTTGTTGATAAAGTCCATGAGGTCTTGCATCTCTCTCTTTTGTGCCGCATACTCCACAACGCTCTGTACAAAAAATGGGGGAGATTTTATTTTGAGTTTATTTTTGTTTTAGTAAGAGTTTTACAGCACTTGCAACACAAAAAGGTCATATAAGTGCCGAAGATTAGAGGTGTTTGTTACAAGCGAATAACAAACACAAAAAAGAAGGAGGAGAGATCAGGACGATAGATGTTTGATAGGAAAGAAGTCGAAAACCACATCAAAGCACCCGCCAACCACCCACTATTTTGAGTTTTAGTAATGAGAAATACCTAAACACAATGGCAGTCATTTAGAGCTGAGAAAAAACAAGGTAATAATCATTTAGAGCTGGGACATAGAAAAAGAAAGCGGAACAACAGAAGGGGGACAAAGTACGATATATCTGCGATACCTTCCAAACACCTGCAAGAAAGATCTGACTTGAACAACATTTGAGTACTTGTGTGCACGTCCGTGGAAATGTGCGCGCGTGAATAATTCGAAGGGGAAAGAGAGAGAGAGAGAGAGAGAGAGAGAGAGAGAGAGAGAGAGAGAGAGAA